GGCCTGTGTAAGCGGATGGAAGTGGTGATGGCTAGAGTTGTGTATGCGACTGTTGCGTTACCTCCAAGCATGGTAAATGGTCGTTTGGAGGATCATCCGAATGAGAACCACGTCAATAGCAGGTGAGGACCGTGCTGTGATGGCTCGGATAGTGTTGGATCAATCGGGAGTTGTATGCCTTCTAAGAAGGGGAATACGGACCAAATGGAGAACGTATACGGACAAGCAAAGAAAAGATGATCTATAGACTCATCCCGCTCACCGCATAACGGGCAAGGCTGCTCTTGACTCCAACGTCGCAGTCGTTGGCCCATAGAAAGTCTATCTTTGATGGCTAGCCAAGTAATAAAAGAATAGCGCGGAACCGCTTGTGGGAACCAAACTGTCCGAGACCATGAAATCTTAGGGGCAGAGCTGCGAATGAGATCCCATGTGCATTTTGAGAAGAAGGATGGCCGGAAAATCTCCGTCTTTGTGCTCCCACAGAATCGTATCATGCCAAGCTGGCCAATGGAGATAAAGGAGATATAGGGTTGATAAGATCAGCTACAAATCTGTAATTCTTCCCCGTGCCCGTCTAATACTCCACTTCTCATTGTTGACAACATCTGCGACAAGAGCATACTTGTTAATACCAAGATGTAGTGGCACCAAATCTCCTGTTACATCAATAAGATGACATGCCCCTGTCCAATTATCTCATTAGAAGTTAGAACATTGTTGATTTGCCATTGTTAATGTCAACTCTCATTAGTGTAGGTGCAAGTGGCCGCAACTCCAAATCCATGACCCCACACTATCTTCTTTTACACTTTTTATGTGACAAGCCAAAGAAGAGATGGAGTTCTGACACATATCAATCACATGATGAAAGAGTAAATGAAGACTTGTATATTTCTAGTTAATTTTAAATATACATACTGTTCATATCCAATCTAACAACTCTTAGAGCATGATTATCCAAGGGTTCTTAAAAATACTTCTTAGAATTATTTAATAATAAGTTCACCTCTTAACATTATTTTTGTTCCTTAGCTAAGAAACGCATCTTATCTTAAAGGCATATTTGGGAATAAATTATAATCAATTAAATGCTAATATAATCTTAAGATTTTCTTAAGAAACTACCGTTGCTCTTATACCTCAACTTAAACCACCAATCTAACAACTCTTATACCTCTACTTAAACCACTTAACACAACTGCTAATACTATAAACATGGTGAGTCAAAATTATTGGTATAAAGGGATTGTTAACTTTGACTTTGAGTGATTTGATTTAAGCTGTTAGAATGACTATAGTGATTTTGTTTTGATTGATCATGATTAAAAATCAAAAGATTAGTTTTTTTCTTTTCTTGTTGAAATATATTTATAAGGGAAAGTATTATTCCAGCGTTCAAACACTAATTATTTCTTGCGGATTTTTTGCTTTATTTTTAACATTGAAATAATTATTTTTAGTTTGTCAAAGAAATTACATGGAGATATAAATGTCTAAGAATTGAAGTTAGGTCAAAGGTGAAACGTCCAACTACTTACATAATTATGATATCCCTCTAACGGCTTAAAGAATTTTAAATTATAGTTCAGGACTAAAGTATATATTATAAGTTCTAGAAGTCATAGCATTTGACATATTAGGATTACACTTTACATAAGGATATCGAGAAGATTAACATGTTTGACTTGTTTACAGCTTTTAACCGACTCTTGACGTAATCAAATTTTAATTTTATTATAACAATTGGTTGTGATATAAAGTGAACCCATCTTTTCAGCCTATTAAGTAGACACTTGATCACAAACTCAAAATAAATTTATAGTAATAAACTAGAAATGTGAAAATGGTAGTGTGAAATGGTTTATAAGCAAATGAGCTTAATTCAAGTTTTGATCCGATTTTTGTTCCCACTTATAAATTATTCTCGACAGTGTTGAAAAAGAGAGCAAGTCATTGACAAAATATTTCACTAAAGCTTTAAATATTTTAAACAAACCTATGTATATTCGTACAAGTTTTTCACACTTATTGATATTATAGTTTAAAACATTTATTTAGATTTTAGAGTAGAATACCAACCTAAGGCCTACAATATCCGGTATATTAAATTGCTTTAAAATCTAAAGGGTAATTACATGATATGATTCAAACTACTATCAATTTTCTTTAACAAAACAAAAGAACCTAGCCTAATTTCTATTCGTGTAATGTATGTAGTATCTAATATAAAAGGGTAATTACATTAGAAACTATTAATGTATATACCTAGCCTAATTTCTATTCGTGTAACTTAATACTATATATAAAACCAATATAGTATTTTATATACAATTATCACCAACAAATTTTTGTCTTACCCCCGACTAAAAGACAAGTGCTTTTAATGCTGGATTGGATCACCGGTGGTTTAGTTAGTATCTAACAAAAACACTAGTGCTAAAAAAAGGTAATCACATATCTTTAATCTATGGGAAAAGGGGATTTTCATACCCGTATTATCTGCACCGTGGATTTTCATACCTGGACAATTTCGTAGGGTATTTTACAACCTAAACTTCAATAAAATTTGAATCTCATACCTATACTTGATACAACGGGCAAAAATCGGAGTCAATCTAACGGGTGTTAGTCAACTCCGTTACGGTGCTGAGTCATCGTACACGTGTACGCTGACGTGTATCAAAACGATGTCGTTTTCATACCCGTACTGTCTGCGCCGTGGATTTTCATACCTGAACAATTTTGTAAGGTATTTTACAACCTAAACTTTAATAAAATTTGAATCTCATACCCTATACTTGATACAACGTGCAAAAATCGGAGTCAATCTAACGGGTGTTAGTCAACTCCGTTACGGTGCGTATCGAAACGACGTCGTTTTGATATGTGTTCTCAAAGTTTTAATTTTTTTTGCAAAACTGGGGACTCGAACCCGCGAGCCGTACTCACATGGGAAGCACCGAATACCAACTGATCCCACAACATTCATCGAGTATTCCTCAATCTTTTTAACTTATAAACCCAAAAAGTTGTGCGAAGCCGTAGTCACATGGTAAAACTTTGTTCATGCCTAATTTCAGAGAAGAAGAAGAAGAAATGAGAAAACGATTTCTCAATTCGTAACTCTAGTATTCATAATTTCTTCCCAATTTAAAACGATTGACTACGGCTCGCGGGTTCAATGAACGTTGTGGGATCAGTTGGTATTCGGTGCTTCTCATGTGACTACGGCTCGCGGGTTCGAGTCTCCAATTTTGCAAAAAAAATTAAAACTTTGAGAACACATATCAAAACGACGTCGTTTCGATACGCACCGTAACGGAGTTGACTAACAGCCGTTAGATTGACTCCGATTTTTGCACGTTGTATCAAGTATAGGGTATGAGATTCAAATTTTATTAAAGTTTAGGTTGTAAAATACCCTACAAAATTGTTCAGGTATGAAAATCCACGGCGCAGACAGTACGGGTATGAAAACGACATCGTTTTGATACACGTCAGCGTACACGTGTACGATGACTCAGCACCGTAACGGAGTTGACTAACACCCGTTAGATTGACTCCGATTTTTGCCCGTTGTATCAAGTATAGGTATGAGATTCAAATTTTATTGAAGTTTAGGTTGTAAAATACCCTACGAAATTGTCCAGGTATGAAAATCCACGGTGCAGATAATACGGGTATGAAAATCCCCTTTTCCCCTTTAATCTATATAACAAAAATATACAAGATCCTTCGTATCATGTAGCCACGAAATTCAACCAATCAATTATTTCTGTCAACAACCCTTCTCTAATCACTTATCATTTATCAATACCTCATTCACGTTACCGCTATTTGTTATATCAACCGTATTTTTTGTTTCGTTATGTTTAGTCTATTTAGATGCATTTAGAAATTATGAATCTCATTTTTCTTGTGTATTCAGTTTATTTTGATTTTTGATCAATTTATTATGTACAATCAATCGATTCTGAGAGAGTATTATTGCTTCAACAAGGATGCATATTTGCAAACATATATTAAATGTTCGGATTTCTGCATAATTTTGCAGTTGATATGAAAGAAAAGTATGATAATTCAGAAAAGAAAAACATGTCACAAATACTATAATAAAAATTCATATTTTCTTATTCAAATTCACGAATTTAAATACCAGCCACAGAAATAAAACTAATTTAATATGACACTAACCCCAGAAATTTCTGTTAAACAAATATGGTTATTACCTTTAGTATCAATTTTCTTCTTTTTTTTTGTGAACGAACATGGTTGGTCGTAGAAAAAGACAATGAACTAGTGACTTACTAAAAATATATATTAAGATAGACAGCTACGTATATTGACAAGAACCTGTCAATAACATTTTTCTTAAAATAGTTGATGATAATTGTATATCAAAACCTACTACTCATAAGTCATAACCCTTCAAAAAAAAAAACCTACTAATAAATAGATTACTATTATTTAACGTTTGGATTGAACCACACGGCGTGGATTCGGATTACATGCATTTGTTGAATATTTATTTTTACTATAAAAAGTAAATATTTCATTAGAAAATAAAAACGGTTTGGAGTTATAATACTGTTGATCCAACAATTTGGTCCTATAGCAAAAAATTGAAGGATCGAAAACATGAAAGCAAATAACAGTCGGTCCATCGATATTAACAAAAGCAATAACGTTCAGAATCGATGAAGCGAAAAACATTTGTCGAATACTTGACTAATCATTATTTTGTAAGTTTGTCTTACCGATCATGGTGGTTGGCGGAACCGGTCGTTGGTAAGGAGGATCGTAAGGGCGTGTTATATAAGAAACCTTAAATTAAAATTATTTTTATTTATAATATTTTATAACAGTTATATTTTATTATTGTCACCATTATTTGCCCCGCCCCATGTAGACACGTATGTCCGTATGTGAATAAATATTCGACCTATAGGGACGAATATTAGAGAGACTGATATATAACGAGCTAGCTCCTCACAACATCATATCTCTGCAGGTTCACCACCAAAAAAAAAAAACACAAATCTTAAAGAGATGAAAGAGACTAATTTTGGCGAAAAAACGCGGGTTCTGGTGGTTGGTGGGACTGGATCGTTGGGGAGGAGGATCGTAACTGCGTGTTTGGCTGAGGGACACGAGACTTACGTTCTCCAAAGGCCGGAGAGCGGAATAGATCTCGAGAAGATGCAGCTTCTCTATTCTTTCAAAAGACTCGGCGCACGTCTTGTGGAAGGCTCATTCTCCGATCACCAGAGCCTTGTCTCTGCCGTGAAGCAAGTCGATGTGGTTGTCTCCGCCATGTCCGGTGTCCATTTCCGCACCCACAACATCCCCGTTCAACTCAAGCTCGTCAAAGCCATCAAAGAGGCTGGTAACGTCAAGGTAAAAAGATCATCTATATTTATATAGAGAGATACATATATCACTGAAATATATCTTATTAGTGACCGTGACATTTCAATTGATAGTAGAGTCTGAATCATATATCCGGTATCCATCATGTTGTTGTTACCCTTTTACATTAGATTTTAAAGCAATTTAAAATACCGGATATTCCACAAAGTTTCTTTGGCATAAAACAATATATAATTTAGGTACAATGCATCTATCTGCATGACATATGCATCTTTGAAAATGGTCTATATATTGGCTACATTTTGTTAACATGGCAAATTAATGAATTGACTTTAACTCTATATGTACTCATTTAAATTTTAATCATTTCCTTAAAAAAAAAAGATATAAAGATCCGTTCAAAGCTTTGTAAGATAATTGTGTGACACAAAGTCGCGCTTTTTGGCTTACTAATACGAGAGTTTTAATAAGCTTGAATACATTATTGTGGAAAGACTATCTAAACGTTTTTTAAAGTAATCAAAAATCAGTTTTGATAAAAACAACTCAAACCACTAATTGAACTACTAATGTTGAATGTCTTACATTTTGTTCGGTGGTGTTGAAACTAAAATTTTCAAATATTTCAGCGTTTCTTACCATCAGAATTTGGGATGGACCCCTCGCGTATGGGACATGCAATGCCACCAGGTAGTGAAACATTCGATCAAAAAATGGAAGTACGAAATGCAATCGAGGCCGCGGGGATCCCCCACACATACCTCGTCGGTGCTTGTTTTGCCGCATACTTCGGCGGAAATTTATCTCAAATGGGAACTTTGCTCCCTCCAAAAAAGAAAGTTGATATTTATGGGGACGGAAATGTTAAAGGTAGCACTCTTATGGAAGACTCTCTTCATGTTTTTTGTTTTGTGTAGCTTCTATTTCATAGTTATTAACTAGGCAGACATCCTAAAGAGATATATTTTAACCATTTTTGTTTCCCATTCATTTTATAAGTGGTATACGTAGATGAAGATGACATGGCAAAATACGCCGCAAAGACGCTTAACGATCCCCGAACGGTGAACAAAACTGTGTACGTTAGGCCTACCGACAACATTCTCACACATATGGAACTAGTTCAGATATGGGAGAAACTAAGTGGGAAAGAGTTGGAGAAGAACTATGTTTCAGCAAAGGACTTTCTTGCTGACATTGAAGGTGATTCTAATCATCATAATAACCAAACATACCTTTTGGATTAGAGTTTTTCTTTCACTTCCCATTAAATAAAAGAATTAGATTAATCTAAGGTAGGTTAAGTCTTAAAACCAAAATCTAAAAGTTGGCTACAGGCCAAGTATTTATTTTCTATTAAATGAAAGTGAAAATGTTAATGATGATATATATGCAGATAAGGAGATACCACACCAAGCGGGAGTAGGACACTTTTATCACATATACTACGAAGGTTGTCTCACAGATCATGAAGTTGGAGACGACGAAGAAGCTTCTAAACTCTATCCGGAGGTGAAGTATACACGCATGGATGAATATTTGAAAATTTTCGTATAATTTGGTTGAACCAGAATACATACATGTAAAACATATCGCCATTTGCTAAATTTTCATTTCCTATATTTATGTTTTTCCGTGGTCTTTTGTTTTCTTAAAGGTGTTTTTCCAAATTTATCTAAAATTTTAAATGTTTCAGTTATGGATATGTTAGATTAAATAGTATTTTAGGGGTGTTATTCAATTGTGATTAATGTAAAATTATCATGATTATAATGATTACGGAATTTAAGAATTTTTTAGAGACTTTAAAAAATATTTTACAGATTCACAAAGATTTTCTGAGAATATCACCCTACCAACTGGGATTTTGAAAGTCTTAAAAGTTATTTCAAATGAACAAATTTTTTTAAAGTCAATTAACCAATAACACTAAACTTTAATATAATCTGAAAGTTAGTTAAAGTATTTCTTAATCCAATAACGCATGATTATGAACAAATTTCTAAAAACTATTAATTCAATAACACATGACTTTTAATAAAGAGAAATTGTTAAAAATGCCCCTTTTTCAATACCCATTTTCAAAAATGCCCCCTTTGAGAGTCCATTTTTAAGTTTGCCCTCTTTTAATTTTTAATGACCATTTTACACTTATTTGAAACAAAATTAGGTCTACAAAATACTAAATATTTTTTGGCGGGAAAAGTGATCCCGCAATTTTTCCGCCAAAACACTTGTAAAAACCTTTAAAATACCTTGTAAAATTTTCCCGTAAAATTTTTCCCGCCAAAAAATTTTCCCGCCAAAAATTTTTTTTTGCGGGAAAAGTGATTCCACAATTTTTTGGCGGGAAAAATTTACAAGGTATTTTAAAGGTTTTACAGAGTATTTACAAGTGTTTTGTAAGGTTTTACAATGTATTTTAAAAGGTTTTACAAGGTACTTATAAGGTTTTATAAGGTATTTATAACTTGTAAAACCTTATAACTTGTAAAACCTTATAAAATAGCTTGTAAAATCTTATAATATCTTATAAATACCTTATAAATACGTTGTAAAACCTTTTCAAATACATTGTAAAACCTTATAAATACCCTGTAAAAAACCTTTAAAATACTTTGTAAATTTTTCCCGCCAAAAATTTTCCCGCCAAAAATTTAACTCCAAAAAAATTGCGGAATCACTTTTCCCGCAAAAATTTTTTTTTGGCGGGAAAAAATTTTACGGAAAAATTTTACAAGGTATTTTAAAGGTTTTACAAGTTTTTACAAGTGTTTTGGCGGGAAAATTTTTGGCGTCACTTTTCCCGCCAAAAAATATTTTGTATTTTGTGGACCTAATTTTGTTATATTTCCTTATATATTTGTGATATCTTTTATTAAAAGAAGGGTAATTTAGTCATTTTGTACATAAAAAAGGGTATTTTTAAAAATGGACAGCCAAAGAGGGCATTTTTGAAAAGGGGTATTGAAAAAGGGGCATTTTTGTGAGTCTCCCTTTAATAAATGTAAATAACTTATTATAAATATTGAACCAATAACACATGATTTTGATAGAGTCATAAAACAAGTAATGTTTTAACCGGTGGTACAAAATTTTATTAGTTCAATGTTGAGTCCATAATTTAAATAAATCGGAATCTAATCTCTTTGAAAGAAGATTTTTGTCTCGTGGTTGCTTGCTCCAGTGCCATCCTTACTGAAACAAAATATACGAACCGATTACATATATATTTAACATAAATAGATCGGCGCAAATCAAAAAATGATATCCAAAATCGGTTAAAAAATATTGAAACATTTCATTTAAAAACGATATGAAATTATATTGAACCTGTCAACTACCTATGAGTTCAAATAAAATTTATGTAATTTTAAACGTATTTTTGTGAATATATATATATATATATATATATATATATATATTTACAAATCGTTTTTTCTTTAACATCTGATTACTAAAGTTGTATCTAGAAGTCTTTATGAGGAAGCCAATCGGGAGGGAAACTCGACTGAAATGAGAGGTATTTGACTACTCGACTAAAAAGAGAGTTTACATAAGCTTTCCACGAGAGGTTGTATGAAATGACTCTCTCACAATATGTAACCCAAACTACTAGATTCTGTTTCGAGGGATCTTTTTATTTTTGAATTACTAAGAGGTTTTTGACCTAGGCCCGTACATCTAGTCAAGCTAAAGACCAGAGTATTTTATATTGTTTCTTCTCAAGTGTCACTCGAACCGGTGACCTCTAAGTTTTGCCTGAGGGTCTTTACCAGTCGAGTTATTGCACTTAGTCTCTTAATTACTAAGAGGCTATAATTTGCAAAAGGTATCCATTTTGCATTATGCTCTTCAGCTAGCTGTGCCAGCGCTTAAGATCAAGCACATTGTGAGAGTTTTTTTGAATGGCAAGTCTAGATTCACATTGTAAGTCTTCCTCCGCTTTAAGGTGTCTACCGACTCTTTCTCACATATTGTTTTTTTTTTTGGTTTGATGATTGGCTCCACATTGATTGTGTGATTGACATTATCAATGACTTAATCAGTTACGCGATCCTTGGGTATTCAATGTTAAGGTTTGCGTCTGATGTGACCTTAACTGAGGAGTGGCAAAACTTGCTCTATTGCAGCATGCTCCCTGACATTCTAATTAACACATATTACAGACCCATATACCTTTTCCTCTTGCCGTTACCGATGTAACGATGTTCCACTTATAGGCCTCATGAAGAATGGGGTTATCGGGATCATTTATCATCAAATAAGACAACAGCCTGAGAGAGTAGCTTGGAACCGAATCCCATGGTGCGTTCAAGGTGTCACACACTTCTTTTTTATTATATGGCTCGTGAAACTTTTGCTAAGAGTACATATGGGAGCAGACTCAGCAGAGGAACAGTTATGTGAGAAACACAATTAATCTAGAGGCTATCTATACTTCGCATGTCCCTGCACATTCACATTTTGGTCGAACATCAATGAGAGGCTTGTCACTTGTCAGAGCTAACATATACGCCCCTTTATTGGTCGACACGCTCAATCATCATAACATGGTTATTCATATAATATATATTTTTTATAAAGGGTCAAATGCCTTATAGTGCTGCATTATTTAAAGATGTCTTGGTGAAAAATGATTGGAAGAAAACAAAATTCAACCTACTCCATCTTTAAAAAATTATAAGATGATTTTCGTGATATGCGCTTAAACAATTAAATATTAGGTAATTTGACTGATTAATTTTGGTAACAAATTATTTATGTGTTTAACATATAATATAATAAGAAGATGCAATGTTCAAAAAATCGTTAGGCTGTACTTACACGTTCGATATCGACTTATCACCTAAATTGATTAATCGGGGTCTGGTCGGAGCGTTAATGTATTATTTATTTATTTCTAAATATTTTTAAAATTTATAATAAAACATTGTGATACAATATCAGAAACCTATGACCAAGATCAAACCAGACCAACTGGTTTGTGCCCTAAACTGACCATATCGAACAAAAATGGAGGAAGCAAACTCAAATCAAATTCTGGTCAAGAAAAAGGCGTAGGATTGATTATTCACAAGAAAGTCACATATCTAAATACGTTCGGGCGAAACATTATAGAAAACTATCAAGCCAATGAAGCCAAATGCCAAGCTTTCAAGATACAAGAATGAAGATATTCCCTTATTTGGCCTGATTTCGTATTCAATTTTCCAACGGCTCTATGTAATTATTTTTGCGATTTTTTTCCTTGTATTAGCACATTAGGACCTTTGTCTATAAGCCTATAAAAGCTCAGCTCTTAGTTCATTGTAAATTACCCATTATCAATCATTTAATAAAAGTTTGTTTTCTTTTAGAGTGTATCTTTGAATTGTTCTTGTCTTTAGAATCTAAGTGTGAAAACTCCATCTCCATCTCTACCAACGCCAACTTCCGCATGAAAGCTTGTCGACTCTTGACATCTTGTGATCAATAAGATTTTGTGGATTCCAATCTTACATCACATAGTTATAAAATATAGAATATTTAAAAAGGGTACATATTCGAATTTGTTATATATATATATATTCATACTTAGTTTATTTAAAATCTAAATTAGCTTATTCCCAATAGCTAAAAAAATTGAAACTAAATAAATCATAATTTATAATTTTAGTAATCAAATATTTTTATTTTATTTTTTTCACTTTTTAACAACTATTTTATATTAAAAAAAAAGTAAGACATTAAATCGGCCAATTTAAAGAAACAATGCAATAGTGAAAGTAAATTTTTTTTTTTACTTTTGAAAGATATTTTATATTTAAAACGTTGTTACCTAATTTTTTGTTATATTTTATTTTAATTTTTAAAAAATTAAACCCGTCCATCGGACAGGTTCTTATCTAGTATGAATAGGGGCCGATTGGTAACGACTGTTACTTTTGGCTTTAAAGATTTCGTTGTAAAGATTTTGGTTGTAGAGACTTTTGCTGTTAAGACTTTGACTATAAAAGTTTTTATAAACGATTGGTAAAACATGTGACTGTATAAATTACGATTTTAAATAACTATCGAAAATATGGAAAAATAGATCTTAATAAAACAAGAAAAAAATTATATTGTAAATCAACTGAATTTTTTTAAAAATTACTTATTTAAAGAATTTTATGAGAGATTTTATATTCATGGGGAAGCGGGAATAAGAAAAACTATAAGCTTTTATTATTTTTATTTTGAAAGCCAGGAATACGTGACTTTAGAAAAAAACTAAAACTAAAGAGTACAAAAAAAAGAAATGGCTATAGAGACTTTTAAATTAACTATAGCCAATAAAATGTGATTGGAAAAATAATGACTGTTAAGACTTTTAAAAAATTTTAAAGCCTCCAAAGTTTTTACCAATCACCCCCTATATTCTTTGTTTGTAAATACTTAACAAAACAAATGTTACTCTTTAAAAATGTATTTCAAAAATATTATTATAGATAATATCTGCTTCCCAAACTGCTATTTATTTAATAAACTGATTTAGTTGAGTTTATTATATACAGTATGTTAAAAACTGCATGAAAACAACTACTTATGAAATGTCGGGAATCATAAGGATAATAATATTTTTTTCAAAATAGGTTTAAACTAAACTGAATTATTTCATAACCACTATACGTTAATAGTTCATTTGGTTAATAACAACACGTTTACAAATAGTGATGTGTTGTTGCGAATATATAATGTCAAAAACTCATACGAAATTAAACAAAAATGAATCAGTCGGAGCTTCTAAGGAACGTTAGAGACGATGAAGACATAAGACCAGAAGTCAGAAGTTTGATATCTTCACTTCCTTCATACACAGACGTTGAAGGGAAGAAGCTATGCAACTACCAAGGATGTTGGTATTACTAAAAGAATCTCCAAGCTGTCCTGGATTACCAGTAGAACTTTAAGCCGCTAGACACCGACATAATTGTCACTTCATACCCCAAGTCTGGCACGACTTGGCTCAAGGCCCTCACAGTCGCTTTACTTCAGAGGTCAGAGGATGGTTTTCAGAACCATCCTCTTACCTCTGATAGCCCCCATGGTCTTGTACCCTTCCTCGAGATGAAATTGTACGTCAAAAGCTCAACACCGGACCTGACTAAGCTCTCATCATCTCCTAGGTTGTTCTCCACCCACATGCCGTTTCATACTCTGCGAGAGCCCCTCAAGGACTCTCCTTGCAAGATTGTGTACGTATGCAGGAACGTGAAGGATGTAATAGTGTCACTTTGGCATTTTAGGTCAAGAATTGAGAACAAAGAAGCTGAAAGAAGCAGGCTCGAGTCTATGGTCGAGTCGTTCTGCAAAAGGAGTTAACAGTTATGGACCTTTTTGGGACAATGTTTTGAGCTATTGGAAAGGCAGTTTAGAAGAACCAGATCATGTTCTTTTTATAAGGTACGAGGATCTCAAAGAAGAGCCTTATGCCCAGGTCATTAGACTTGCTGAATTCTTGGGTTGCCCTTTTACTCAAGAAGAAATACATAGCGGATCTGTTGAGAAGATCTTGGACTTGTGTTCTCTGGACAATCTGAGAAATTTTGGACATCAACAAGAGTGGGATAGCATGGAACAAGTTGCATCACAGTATCTACTTCCGCAAAGGAGAAATTGATGATTGGAAGAATCATCTCACTACTGAAATGGCGAATAAAATCGACATGATCATCCACGAGAAATTTAAAGGTTCGGGTTTGAAACACTGAGTTATATTTATGTTGAGTGTGCTTTCTTTCTTTTATGTATCCTAATAAAAGTAAGTTTCATTGTTACGTTCTTTTGTTGTATTGTATGATTCATAACGTTTTTCATACTGGGACTTTTATCAACTTTCTTTGATGTAATCCGTGTCATATTGAATCTCGGAATGTTTGTTTGGTTACTACAAGATATGTAGAACATTTTACTTCAAAATTCAAACTGCCCGAAATTCACTTGATATATTGGAGACTTTTGATGATTTTGAAATATTTTAAAGAAAAATTGTTTTTCTTGGTAGGCCACTCTATCTAAGGACTTCTTGGTGGTAAATAATTAGAAGCAAACAAAATTCGACCTACGCTGTCATTGAAAAAAACTCGTTATACTAACTCCCATAATCATAAGTTTGAGGTTACATATCCAATTATATAGTAGAAGATTTTCATAAACTATGATGGATACAAATCAATAAATAACTAAATAATAATTATACAATATATATTCTTATTAATCTTATTATCTTCGAAATTAGTTTATAGGTGGTGTATTACGACCTTGAGAAAAAAAAAACAAGAAAACATAGAAATAACAAAAGGAGGCAAATAAAATGACCGTAGTTTAGTGGCAAATGATAAATCCGCTGAGAACATGCATCATCACAACACGGATTGAGTTCCGCTCCTTACAAATGTAGGAATTTTACTAATGGACCGACCGGTTGTAGCCTAATATTGACAAAAAACAGAAAAAAAAAAAACAAAAGATGGCAAGGGAAGCAGATATGTTTCTTATTATTATTAGACGCATTAACTAATAGATGTTTTTGTTTTTCCTTACAAACTATCACTAAAACAATTAAAAAAATTGATGCCCTTAAATTTGAAGTATATTTTGAAGCCTAAGGTTCAAAATTTCCAAAGTAAAAACTCCATGGTTTGAATTAAAAATTTGTAAAATTAAATGCGTTTCTAGAATACAACAGAGAAATAAAGGGGCTTTATCCACAAATAAACAAGAGATACTTCGAGAAGAGACTAAAAAAAAAAAAACGGAAATTATCTTCCCGCCATGTGTATGTGGTAACAAAAGCTTCGATTACTCTATCCTCTCTCTCTCTCTCTCTCTCTCTCTCTCTAATGGCTTCTTCTTCTCTACCTCTGTCTCTTCCGTTTCCACTCCGATCTCGTAGTAGTCTCACTCGATCTCTACCTTTCCGATGTTCCCCTCTCTTTATCTATCTTCCTACTTCAATCGTTTGCTTCTCCACTCAAAACCCCTCCGGTTACGACCGAGAAGAGGTCCGGTGGCTCCGGGAAGAGCAAAGATGGATTCGCGAGGAGCAACGATGGCTTCGAGAAGAACAGAGATGGATACATGAGCGTGAATCACTTCTACAAGAGATTTCAGATCTTCAGCTTAAGATTCAAGCCCTAGAGTCACGAAATTCGCAATTGGGGACTTCTGTTCCCGATACGATTTCGAATATCGCTGCTTTGCTTCAGGTTTTGAAGGAGAAGAATCGGATTTCGGAGAGTGGATTGAGCGCAACGCCGATGGTATTGGAGACCTTGGAGACTACGAGTGAACAAATTGTTGAGGAGGTAGAGGAAGTGAAGCGAGTGATTATTGCTGAAGAGAAAGTTAGGGTTTCGGAGCCGGTGAAGAAGAATAAGACGAGGCGGACATTGAAAGTTGGAAGCGAAGGCGACGATGTTCAAGCTTTGCAGGTCTGCTCTCAGTTTTAGAACAAAGGCGAGTAATCTGTCAATTTAGTTCTATCATCATCACTGAGAATTAGGTTAAAATTGAGAGATTAGGCTGATGATTTGAAGTAGTTTAGCCATTACGTAAGTTTGAGATTGATTTTAGTTGAAAGTGTTTTGGAGAATGTTTCTTTTTTGATGGTTTTGTTTTGTGGATTTGGTTTCCTCTATGTGATAGGAAGCTTTGTTGAAATTAGGATTCTATTCGGGCGAAGAGGACATGGAGTTCTCGAGCTTTTCAAGTGGGACTGCAAGTGCTGTTAAGACTTGGCAAGTATGTTTTTATGCATTTAGTTTACCTTGATTTCTCGTGTGCCGATGCGGTTTTGATTTTGACATGGTTAGTCTTTTGGTTTAAAAGGCATCGCTTGGCGTCCGTGAGGATGGGATAATGACAGCAGAGCTTCTTCAGAGGTTGTTCATGGATGAAGACATAGAGACAGATAAGGATGAAGCAAGTACAATGAAGAAAGAGGTAAAAAAACTGAAACCACTACAGCTTAGAGAACTTGTCTTCTTATTTGTTCTATATCATGGCTCGTTTCTGCCACACTTATTTTAAGGGACCAGTCAAAGTGTCCCAATAAATTTTAGCTCTGTAGCAAGCCTGTTGAGTAGTGATGTGTTCTCTCTTTGCTTCGGTAGGCAGCCTTCTTACTACAGAATATGGACTCCCATTGTATGCTTTGGCCTCACAAGCTTGTTACTTAGCTAAGATGATGTTTCCGTTGCTAGTGAGCTTTGTTCGGAATATGAAGTGTCATACCAATACTTAAGTAATATGAGTCTGAAATACAATTGGTAAATGGGAAAAATACTACATTGTCTTGTTTGAGGTCTTAGGGAACATGATTTATTCTGAAATGACTCTAAATTTGCTTAAACCTGTTAAGACTTGTTCTTTCTACTGAACCTTTCTTTCAATTCCTTTGATTTAGGAAGCTGGTAATGGATCGGTATTTAGTTCAGTGACACAAGTCCCTGAGAAGAAGCAATCAATCATAAAAGATCAAAGTAACAGAGAAGATGACGTTACTCAAAATCGCGTTTATCTTCTTGGAGAAAACAGATGGGAAGATCCTTCCAGGCTCATTGGCAGGAACAAACCGGTAGACAGTAGTAAATCCACAATCACCAAAACGAGGTGCATCACTTGTCGAGGGGAGGGTCGATTGATGTGCCTAGGTAAATCCCTTCTTGACCCTGGTTAAGTGAAAATCATTGGTTCTTTGAAAGTTAAGAAGGATTTTTCTTAGCAAACTGAGAGTGCTAATAGAAACCAACCTTATAGCAAAAGGTTGGAATCTTTTAATCCAATGTGTTCATCGTCCCAAATAATCGATATTCTTAGTAACACTTCATGCACAGAGTTGTAGAGTATTTGATGATATCAAAATGAAAACTTGATGTGGATTTTGGTTGATGTAGAGTGCGATGGAACCGGTGAGCCAAACATTGAGCCGCAGGTGAGTATATCAAAACAACCCCGCTTTGATTATGCGTATGTATATATATTATCAAGTAGCCTAAAGCAGAGAAGCTTTCTTCAATGTTGTAGTTTATGGAATGGGTTGGTGAAGATACGAAGTGTCCGTACTGTGAAGGTCTTGGCTATACAGTTTGCGATGTCTGCGACGGCAAAAAAAACTTATAATCAAGGTTACACAGACACATTTACTTGATGATATAATCATATATATGTTTATATGTACAAACTTTTTCTGTATATCAGAAGTATGATATTTGCATTGCTCTTGTTTCAAAGAAGATAGGTTTGATATTGTTTAAACATAAATTAGTTGGAAAACTGATGAGAGATTATATAGCAAAGTTTCTGCAAGATTATATATCAGTCTCACAGAGATTATATAGAAATAGATTTGATGTTTGAAAGGTTTAAAAGAGAAGACAAGACTATATATAGACGCTAACTCAATTCCATTGAGATGGAATAGTGAGTGACTCTAACAATCCCACTTTTGCTTAATCCGCATGGATAATCTGTGTTCGTCGACATTGAAAAATTCGACATAGTTAGGTTGACGCAGGAAGAAAATCGAGCTCGAAGGGACACAGAAAGCTTCAGAATTTGTGATGAAAATGCTTTGATCTCCGATGTCTTGAGTGTAAACAGCGTTTCCTTCTTCGTCTAGCCTGAACACCATTATTGCTACTGTTTCCCTTTTCGGAATACCTTTGACGATCTCTGTGGTCTTCCTGTACAACTTAACCATGAAAGTTTCACTGGTGGTTATTGACTCCACCAAGTGTTCGCTTGTGTAGCACGAATCCAGAAGGTTTCGTTTTGTCTCGGACAGTTTTGGAAGGTTTTGAAACCTCAAGATCTGCAACTTGGGGTTGTTGCTATGGTTTTGGAGATCCCATGATCCAATGAGGTGGCCTCCTGAGCCGGCTATGCGAAACATGTCATCTTTCTTTGAAAACATGACAGGGGAGGAGAAGAAGCAGGGGTCTGTCATTCTGATGTTGATCCACTCGGAGTTGCTTCGAGCGGGTCTGCAAAAGCTTAGTTGAGGTCCCAAGAACTTGACAGCCACAACACAGTCCTCCTCTTCAGGGAAAGATGAAGACATGGCCACGTTAGTGACATATTGGGTTTGGCAATGAGGCAGAGTCACAAGAGGAGGCAGCAAAATACGTTTCGGTTCTGTGTCATTGTTTTCACTTATTTCTCGGAGACGCAAGACACCGTCCTTCAAAGTAGGTAGCCATCCACTGGATGATCCTATCGTTCCCATTTCCTTAAGCAAATCTCTACGTAACTTTGCTTCCTTCTTATCATCCTCTTCCAATTTTATACACAACTCTTCGTAAGAAAGGTTCTTGTAACGAGGCCCATTCCTCTTAATCTTGGCTTTTCCGAGGTTACCTCCACATGGATCAGCGCAGATCAAGACAAAAGAATCACAATCACTTTGCAACACCAAAGATGAGAGTGCATTAGAGTGCCGAGGAGAGGATCTCACCAACACAGGTTTCCGAAAACAGAGCTTCGAGGGCTGATTGAGAAGCAAAGACATGACTAAAGGACGAGATAAAAGAAAGATGGAAGATGTACACTGATGATCTTCTCCACCCAAAACCATCCTCTATTAATACAAATGGATGACTTGTTCTCCAAGTTTCGCATCTCCAAAATTAATTATTGTCTTTATGGATAGTAAATTTGGTATCCATGACTAAATCGCCCAATCATCTCCTACTCCTTCCGTTGCTTCGTCTTCTAGGTTTACACTTTAAAAGGCATAGAAGAAAGTTCATACTTTTAGTTCATCAGCAATAAAAAAAAAAAAACAAAGTGGCAAGATTGTTTTAGTTTGTAGGAATTTAATTCATTTATCATTTTGCCAATGAAAAGATTTATTCCATGAACAAATACAATGTCATTGGGAAGAAGAAAAGAGCAAAAGTATAACAAAATTAAAAACAATTTCAGAAAAGACAAAGGATTGATGTATAGTATCAGACACGATACTATATAGTTCCTTTGATGGAGATTTTGAATTAATTGCTCGCTCAAGTTGTTGAGAGTCCAAAGCCATGAAGATTTTTTGCAAAACTTAATTCCTGAGCTTGATGAAGGGCAGCGAGCATGGCTAATCTTTTGGCCGATTAACGACGATTACATTTAACTATTGGTCTTCGAATTTTGTGTTGATAATCTTATTTTCTTTATCATTCAAAGCCCTTCAATTTTATCATTGAAACAAAACGTTGAAAGACAATGAATTTTCATGGAAAAGAAAATCATTATTGGTTGGACGATGCAAAATTGATTCCATGAACTACTATTATGTAATTGAACAAGAAGAAACCAAAATAAAAAGAAAAAGGTAGAACGAAGAGAACAAAAGACCATGGTCTGAGGAGAATACAATTAGGTGTAGTCTTTTTTATATATTTGTTTTAGTTTACGAATACTTAGAATGAAAAAAACCAAGCAAATTAATTAATTACTCCTCTATTGATTTTGTAAAGGAGAAGGCAATTAGGTGTAATCATTGTTTGATAAGCACACAATTATTTTGTTGCCAAAAAAACTAAGTTATATACACAAACATGTGCTTACACATTCTATAATAATGTAGGCTCTCCCACTTGTTCACTTTCGGCAACATCGTTTATACGAAGAATAAACATCAGAAGTGTTATGACAAAAAAAGGTACTTTCACAGGTCATGGAGCTTGCTTAACAAGTATATATATAAAAAAACAATCTGTATATTGAAATTATAGCGAATGACAAAAGATGATATATAAATAGAAATAGATCACCACATTTCTTTTCATTTTTTTTCTTTTTTTTGAAAAAGGGATCACCACATTTGGAAATCAATTTATCTACCTTAACAAATTATACCACAACAACACACAATCAAGCATGCTTTTACACTATTACATAGATATATTGATGATAAAAAAAAAAAAAAAAAAGCAACAAACACATTTTAATTGAAATAAATAGTGATTTATTGTTCTGGTACAATGAAAAAAATATATACAATAAAACCTTTATAAATTAATACTCTATAAATTAATAACCTCTCTAAATTAATAAATTTTTTCGGTCTCGAGTTGGGACCAGTGTAAAATATGACATAAATCGATAAATTAATAAGATAATAATTTTTTAAAAAATCCTATGTAAACATATGGTCCCATCTATACTATAAATTAATAATTATATAAAATTATCTATATATATATATATATGTATATTTAACCTAATATATATGTGATATAAATTTATATATGTCATATATGAATTACTATGATATATATTAAAAATATTATATGTAAATTTTTTAATAAAATATGACTCTATTATTCGAAAAAATTTTGTGTTGTTTTTTAAACTTAATAATTGCTTCTCTACTTGTAATTGGTTTTAAAAAGATATTGCTTATAAAGAAAATTTTTATTTTAGAAAGAATTTTTTTAAGAAATTACCAAATTAGGAAAATCTCTCTAAATTAATAATTATTAATTTATCGATAAATTAATACCTCTCTAAATTAATAAAATTTTCTGGTCCCAATATTATTAATTTATAGAGGTTTTACTGTATATCATAATATGAAAAATCAATCTCGCAATGTTTATTAGTTTGTGCATCTTAAAATACTTTTTTGCCAACCTTAACATATGTAAGGAATAAAACGTAAATATTCAAGCAATTCCCAAAATTCGAAAATTGAATCTTCCTCTCATTCTTTATACCCACGTAGCCACTCAAACTAGAAGAGAAATTTTTTAAAAATGACGTATTAGTTTGTTGATTTATACATTCTTCTTCTTTCTTCTTCTTATTCTTCTCTTTGCTTGAACAAAATTCATGCCAAAACAAACCTCTTCACTAAACCAATCTCAACTCTTTCTATGAAGAAGAACATTCAGCTTTCCCAACTCTCTCTCAATAGTCCAGCAACTATCAAATGTTCTGAAGCTATCAAGCTGATTACAGAGGATACCAACAATGTTGGGAAGGAAAAAGAATCTTCGAATCATTTGTTGATGGGGTGGTTAAAGAGTTATGCCTCCAAGCGCACAGTAATAGATCACCACATTTTTTTATTTTTTTTATTTTTTATCATAAAAGAGATCACCACATGGGATTCTTGTCTAATCTGCCATTTTTTTGGAAAAACTTACGAAAATACCATTTTTGAATAGTTTACGGATTTTGCCATTTTTCAACATTTAAAAATGTACGTATTTACGTTTTTTTTTGCAAAAATACGTACTTTATACCAAATACTAAACCTTAAGAACAAATGGAACCGACTAAACCCAAACATAACGAGTAAAACGCATGTTAAATCATTTTTTGAAGTCTAAAAAATGGCAAAATCAGTAAATTATTCAAAAAATGGCAAAATTCACAAATGCCATTTTTCAAAATGGCATTTTTCGTAATCGATTCTCAGCACATTTGGAAATCAATTTATATGTCATAATAAATTAGAACACAACAACACACAATCAAGCATGCTTTTACAGTCTTACATAGACCAGTTGATGATTTAAAATAAACATAAGCAACAAACACACACACTTTAATAGAAAAATACAGATATTTTTTGTTTCTGTACATCATCGCATAGATGTTGCAGCTCAAAATACTGAAACAAAATATATGTCATAATATTAAAAATCGATCCCACAATGTTTGCTAGTCTTTGCATTTTCAAATACTTTATTTTTTGCTGCTTATAACAATTTTAAATTATATATCTATCACCTAAAACATCAAATTCTAAAGCATTTCACTAATGTTAATTTTTCCTAAGCAAGTTATTGTGTAATCAACTTATCATATTTTATTGTTTAAATTTTAAATTGTGTAATTATTTACTATGTACTCTTATAATAACACAAATATGTGTAATGCTTAGTGGGTCTTCAAGAATCAAATAAGGATAGATGAGTAGATACAGTTATATATAGATATTTTCTACCATATTTGATTCATAGTATATTTTCTACCATATTTGATTCATAGTATAATATAGAGTGTAATATTTGATTCTACCATATTTGATTCATAGTATAATATAGAGTGTAATATTATAGTACACTAAAATTTTTGCGACACCACAGGATAAGTCGTTACGTCGTTTATTGAGAATGAAATTGATTTGTCTACTCAAACAGATTTTTCTGGATAAATAGTTTGTAGTAAAATATGTTTATAAAAAAAAATTCCGGTAATTGGCTATATGTAATGTTATAATGTATATCAATTCTTACCATTGAATATCTGATCCTTTATATCATGTTAGTGTCAT